ACCCACGCTGGATCCTAGCCCATGCTTTCTGTTCCCCTCTCTCATCCCAAATTAACTTTGAGTAGAAAGACTCTTATCAAGTAGCAGAAATTTTGCAGAAGATAGGAAACTGTATATCCCATTTCGAATAACAGAAAACTGTAAAACATTCCTGTTCCTTGTTCATCCCACCAAGGTTTTCCCACTGGCCACTTCACCCACTTCTACTATCACAAAGGCTTTTCTTTTTGCCCTGCCATGTTTCTGATACTTTTTTTGTCTTCTGTTCTTATTCAAGAGATAAACTTTTCGAATGTTCTCATGCAGAGCAAGTTAGCCACCCCTCTAACTACTTTCGCTCCTGTGAACAGTTTCACCTTTTTCTTAGCTCAGCCTCAGTGCATAACTCCAGGGGACTTGCTTACACTGCAGTCCATGTAAATGCTGCCCCCTGGAGTTGTGCAGTGCACAGACTGAACAGCAGTGTGTAGAGGCCCTACCTCTACCTTATTAAAGCATTTTCCTAATTGAAGACTATTTTGGTACTAGCTATTATACTAACAATCTCTCACCTATATTATATAAAATATCTACAAAAACTTCTAGAGTTTTTAGGAGATTGAAAAAATTTGAGTAAGTGGAAAGCTATTCTATATACTTCGACAGGAAGTTTAACATTATAAAAATGTCTATTCTTTCCAAATGACTCGTAGGTATCATACATTCTAATTAAGATGTTAACAGGGTTTTCTATTTCTTTGGTTTATGATAACAATTTTATAACATATTTGAAAAAATGAACAGGAGAGAATAGCAAAAATAAATCTTTTGGAAAAAATAATGAGAATATTAGACCCTATATTGAGCACTAATGCATCTCTCTGTCATTGCTATAGTTATCTAATTAATCAGCTTCTTAACTATCTATCTATGTATCTATTTTTGATCTATCTTTTGTGGACATCTGAAGCATTTCTTTTCAGTGAAGTTTGATGTCTTCAGAAGGGCATCGCCCCACTATACATCCCATGTGGTTTTTGTGGAGCTGCCAGTCATAGTACTCCACGCCCTGGCCTATGAGTCAACATGCAACATAGACTGGCCGATCACAGTAAACCATCCATCCTCTTGATTATAATGCTTGGTCCAGGAATAAGTAAATAACAAGTTACTCAGAGTTTTCCCTGGAAATTTTCAAAATGAAGTTGCGAAAATATGCCCTCTTTTAGAAAAGATAACTGGGATGATATATGCCCAAGCCTCCTGGCAAATAGGTTTTCTGCCAGTGGAAAAAGTCCATCTGTTCTAGGAGAGAATGAAGCCAAGCAGAAGTAAGCAAACATGAGAGGGTGAGAGAGAAAATTCTGGAGGTATTGAATTCCAGCTTGAATTTCTGAAGCCCTAGAACTTCTCTGGTTTCAAAAGATTTTCTCTCAATTCTCTAATTTTCCCTAATATACTTTTAATGATATAGGCTTGGCTATAGGCCAGGCATGGTGGCTCATGCCTGTAATCCTAGCACTCTGGGAGGCCCAGGTGGGCGGATTGTTTGAGCTCAGGAGTTCGAGACTAGCCTGAGCAAGAGCGAGACCCTGTCTCTACTAAAAAAATAGAAAGAAATTAGCTGGACATCTAAAGAAATATATATGTGTGTATATATATATATATATATATATATATATATATATATATAAATTAGCCGGGCCTGGTGGCACATGCCTGTATTCCCAGCTACCTGGGGGGCTGAGGCAGTATGATAGCTTGACCCCAGGAGTTTGAGGTTGCTGTGAGCTAGGCTGATGCCATGGCACTCTAACCCGGGCAATAGAGTGAGACTCTGTCTTGAGAAAAAAAAAAAGACATGGCTATAACTATGTCTCCCTTTTGTCCACCCTTTCCTGTTTAACACCCAAAAGAGGAAAGGAAGAGATGCCACCCTGACTGGCCAGGATCCCAGACAGGTTTTAGGATTATAAGTTACTATTAGGTAGTTTCGTTCTTCGCTAATGATAGTGATTGTGGTGGTGATGGTAATAGGGGTGATAAGAGTATTAGTATTTGTACTAGTAGCAACAGCAGTAGCTCTCTGTTCTCTGGGTGTGCCAGAAGGTACTTAGGCATTTGAAATTTCTTCAACTATTACATGCCTTTAGGGTTGAAGTGAGGCTCAGTGGCTCAGGAAAGTGGATGGTACAGAAACAATAATTGGTATGGAAAAAGGGATTCTGAGAAGACAAATGGCCTTATGCAAACTTTGAGGGAGTCTTACCAAGGGTGGAACTCTCTAAAGTTTGCCTTTACTAGGAACAATGGAATTCCCCTTGGTTTTGGGGAATATCTAGACACCCCTCATCTTGGCTTTAAGCTACCTGACTTGAATTGTGTATTTCTCTGGGTTACCCTATGTTACCCAAGGATAAGAAGGCCTACCAAGTGTGCCATACTATTAAGACAGCTCAAGATTCCCATTACAATTCTTCTTAGCATGGTTTTCTGTCATTCCTTCTCATCATGTCACCTGGATATTTTTTCCTCCCCCTTCATTTACAGAGTTTGTACAAGTCTCTAAGGAGTCTTTCTTCTGTCATTCATTCATTGATCCATCCATTTAGTCAAATCTATATTTAATGAGTACCTACTATGTGACAATCACTATGTTAATTGCACCCCAGGAGCTTTTAGCCTGGTAGAAAGACAGACATGAAAACACTTTAATAATTGCTAAACCCACGCCCATTTAGCAGTGGCTTGGTATGGTTGGTCCAGCAATCTTTCCTCAGGATCGCAGTGTGTCCTGCCCCCTCTTCCCTGTGTTAGATATCAAGTCTCATTTTAGGGATACAGCAGCGGACACTTAGCTCAACCTTCTAACCATAGGCAAAATCTGGCAACTCACACCCTCCTTATTTCCCTGCTTACAAAGCAGGGGGAAGTACAACTGCCCCCACTATACCATATGATGCTTTCCTCTGCAGACATAGTGTACATAATACCAGGGCCCCTGTCCATTACTCCATATGGCTGAGCTTCCTGTAGGGCAGAGGTAGGAAGTGGGAAAAATTGTATATCCCTGATCCTGCAAAATAGCTCCAACTGTCCTATCAAAGATGGCAATGGAAGGACAATAGGAAAAAATAAGGACTTGAAAACAAGGTATAGAAGTAGTTTTACTATTGTCTATTAAAATATAATACAATACATACAATAAATTTGGTCTCATAAAATAGAATTTAGTAGTTCATTTATATTCATATTAGTAGTGTCTATATAGATTAAAAAGTGATTAACCTTCACATTTCACTTTTATACGATTTTATCTGTGCTTCTCTCTCATACTTCAATTCATTATCATCTTAAAATACCACCTATTATGAGAGCGGCATGTAAGCTTTAATTATCAATTAATTTTATAGCAGAGTTTAACTACATTTTCTATTGTATGGATTGCATAGCAATGCAAAATTGTGACTGAATTTAAAAAATATTTTATTAACTGGTATATGTTTATTTAAATAGAAATAATTGAGAAATAAAAAGAAATTGTCCTGTTTTTTCTTCTTACTCCCCAGGAGTTGCTACCATTTCACTCCCCAGGAGTTGCTACCATTTTGTATATGTTATTACAGATATTTAAGCATGTGCATTTTTTCCCCACAAATGAGCTTATGCAAAACACACACTCACACACACACAATCTTAAAACTAGCTTTCTCCACTTAACAATCCCCCCATTCCATATAGATATTTCACAGTATGGATATACTATATTTAACTGTTTCTGTATTAAAACTCAATTAGAATTATTTTAGATTTTCACTATTACAAACATTGCTGCAATAAATAACTTTGTGAAATATGCTGCATGCTTATGTGATATATCTGTAGGGTAAATTTCTAGAAATGGAGTTGCTGGGTCAAAAAGTAGATGTATTTGAAATTTAGATAAATACTATGAAAATGCCATCCAAAAAGCTTGTGACAACCTGTGCTCTTAGCAGCATGTGTCTGAGAGCATCTGCTTTAAATCTTTGCCAATCTGGTAGTAGAACATAGTATAATATTGTTATTTTAATATGTATTCCTTTAATCATGAGTAAGATCTAGCACCTTATCATATATTCATTAATGATCCACATTTTTTTCTGGACTGTATTCTTTTTATGGCTAGATTTGTTTTACATTGCAGATAATTTCTGGGAAACAGTATACATAGTTTTGAATTTGACATCAAGACTCCTGAACTTTTTAAAGGAGACAATTTAGAATTAGATTGGCACCAGGGTCAAATATTTAATATAATGAAATAATGATTTTTGATATGAGAAAAGATATTTGGTTCACTGGGGCCCTCATGGAGCCTCCCCTTTTGCACAGTGCAGAGCCAGTAGTGTACCTGCGTCTGCACTGTCATTCTTAACACCCAGGAGCTATAGTCTCAGAGATCTGCATCCTCTTTAAATTCACATCCTCTTTAACAAGCTGCACAACAATATGGTTTATTGTAGCCTTAAAGCTCAAAAATATAAAAATCATAGAGGATGGGTTGGCTTAAAGCCAACAACACAGAAAGCAGCTTTTCAGAGGTTACATAAGAAAGAGGTAAGAAGCAAAATGATTATGCCATGTGCAAAACGAAAAAGCTGGGATTGGCCCAGATCTCAGGTGCAGCTGTGAAAGAACCAAGAGGCAGTAGTTAAATGCAAAGAGAAAATCACTAGTAGTGGGGAGAGTTTCAATACTGGAATGCCATTTATAAAGATGAAGTGGAAAACCTATTTACCTTTGTTTAAACTCAGGCTAAATAGATCTCCAGAGAAGATCCTGAGTGTGACAGACCAACTGTTTTTGTTTTTCAGTTAGTGGTGGGTTTTAGTTGCAAGCTCAGGATCTGACTCAAACTAGTTCAGGCTAAAAAGAAATTCACTAGTTTATGTAAAAGGAAGCTGAGCGATTAACAATTTTCAAGTATCAATGAGTCCAGGGCTGACTCATTGGGCTCTGTCTTATCCTCCAGCTCTCACCTGCTTTTCTGAGTGTGGGCTTCCTTCTCAGGTGGGCTTCCTTCTCAGCTCTCCCCACGTGGTAGAAGAGATGGCCACTGGCAATAAACGCATGAATAAGACATCATTTTCATTATTTTTAGTTAATGAAAATTTATTAAGTCCATTTCCAGAGAAATCTATCTCTGTTCTCTTTCCTTCAACAACTATTTCTATCTTTTCTTGGCCTATTTTCATTCTCTTTCTACATGTGACCACAGTAGTAAATTCCAGAGTACATACAATTTTTTACCTTTTCATTTTATATGATTTTATTTGCATTCACTCAAGAATGTAATCTTTGTATTTTCATTTTTATTGATGGCTGCCTATTTGTCCATTGATTCAATGTACATTTTTAAAGCATTGTTTCCATTCGGAAATTATATGGTAGCTTAGAGTGAAAGAGCTCAAATTCTGAACAGGGTGTTCTGAATTATCATCACAGGAAAAGGAAGTTCTAGATTACCTAGAAACCTGCCCTTGGTTTGCTTCAGATCGTTTCTCTCCTGACTTCTAGAACATTTATTGGCAACTTACTATATGGCAGTAGGCATCATGCTAGGTGCCAGATAGATAGGTAGATATAGACAGATATAGATAGATTCATACATATGTATATGTTCATATATATAGATAAATAAATATCCATTTCCTTATCTAAAATTTAAAATTTTTATTTTGACATAATTTCAGACCTTTGTTGCCATAACCATACAAAAAATTGCCACGTATCTTTCACATCTTCAGATTACTCAAACATTAACATTTTTTAAGACTTAAAAAAAAAAGTGACCGGTTCAAGTTACCAACTTGCAACTGGAATGAGGCTGTGAAAAACAGAAAGCCTCTAAGGCAGTATTTAAAGAGATGCTTGCCTTCTGCATTTGTAGCGCAAACTGTGCTGATAACCAGCCCCAGAACTGAACTGTGAGATAGCACAGCTGCAAAGGAGATGGGATGCACTGCTTTGACAAGTCTTCTGTGCCAAAGGCAACTCCCTGGTTGGGAAAGAATGGAATCCTGAGATCTGTTATGCTGGTATTTCATTTAGGTGAAAACGCCTGAGAATTCCCATCCCCAGATTCTTCTGAACTCAGTGTTGGCACAAGTATCTTCCTCTGCTTTGCTTAAGGAGAATAGTGTCCCCTTGTCTGGAGAGCCTGCAAATCCCTCAGTTGAGGCAACAGCACGTACATAAACAAAGAATGGTAAAACCTGGCTAATATTTACCCGGTACGGGAGTGGGTTTTAAAAGTGTTAGGCCAGGCAGGGCAGAATATAAAGGTGGGCAGGAGAGAACATGTTGACATTGGAAAACACTTGAAGTTTCATAATATGGCAAGGACACATGGCCCTGGTTCTAATATCTGCTGGGGTGGCTCCTTGAAGCTTGGACAGGATGAAGGCCTATTGCAAGTGAGGGAGATATTCTAGAAGTGTCTTGACTGCCTTAAGGAAGGGGTCAGAAGGCTCAGGGAGGTTAGAATGTTAGAGTAAATCTATGACATGAGACCTGAATACCCAGCATTTGACTAAATTCCTTGGAGGGACTCAGAGGACATACCCATTTCCAAGGTAGTAAGAAATACACTGGAAATACAGTGATGCCACTGGCATCTTCTAGAAGCTCAGTGGCAGCTATCCACTGTAGTTGACAGTAAGAGGTGCTGGATTTCCTAATATCAAATACATTGATAAGAATCCAAAATAGCAGAGCCCAGATGGTAGCACTTGACTGACAGAAGGAAAGTGTACATAATTACAATAATGGGCTGCAAGGCCAGAGTGGCAACCAGAATGCTTTCACCCACAGGGCTCTGTGATAGTAACTAATAGACCATAGTGTTTCTTGGGGCACGTTAAATGAACATCCACCAGGGTATTATTTGACCTATATGTATAATGAGAAAATGTTGACAGCTGGTGAGCAGAAGGCTGATGCCAGCTGTCTCAATGGGAAATTGCAACCTCTCACTGAGTTTACAGATCTAAGCAAGTTCTCAGACCTAGAGCTCATCATTTGAAAGGGAAGCTGAGTAAAGACCCTGCAATAATAGCACAAGTATGTATACTACATATTCCCCAATCATTCCCCAAAAGGATATACATCCATACTATGGTTTGGATATTGGATATTTGGCCCCTCCAAACCTCATGTTGAAATTTGATCCCCAGTGTTAGAGGTAGGGCCCATTGGGAGGTGTTTGGGTCATGGAGGTGGATCCCTTATGAATCAGGGGTGAGTTCTCACCATATTACCGTGTTTCCCCGAAAATAAGACAGGGTCTTATATTTATATATTCTCAAGAAGACACCGTAGGGCTTATTTTCAGGGTATGTGTTATTTTTTTTAAGTACAGTACAACAATCTACATTTATTCAAATATAGTTACGTCATCTTCTTCTGGTACATCTTCATAACTCCCCAAACCCCAAATTCCATCCTGAATTTCTTGCGACTCTATTTCCTTTAGAACCATTGGCCCCAAATCTATGTCCTGTGGCTTATCTATGATAACAGCTCCTTATGTAAAAACATTCCAAGCCTTTAGACAAAGCTTCATGTCTTTAACCAATTACAAGCCAAAGAATCTTTAAACCCACCTATAACCTGTAAGCCCCCCCACTTCGAGATGTCCCACCTTTTTGGGCCAAACCAACGTATGCCTCCCACATACTGATTTATAACTTTACTTATAATCCCTGTCTTCCTAAAATGTATAAAATCAAACTGTAACCCAGCCACAACAGTCCACTTGCTCAAGGCTTCTTGGGAGTGGCTCCAGGTCATGGTCCTCAAATTTGGCTCAGAATAAACGTCTTTAAAATTATTTTACAGAGTTTGGCTCTTTTCCATTGATAATACCAACACAAAATGGACCAAGACAACCCATTTATGGAGAAACTGTACACTGAGAAAAAGGGAACATTCAGGCATTTCAAGGCTTGTTGGATATAGAGTCTGAGCTGATACTAACACCAGGAAGCTAGAAGCACAATCATAGCCTCCAGATGGAGTGGAAGTTCATAGAGATCAGATGGCCCAGGTTCATTTTCCAGTGGTTTAATGGAATCACAGACCCACCTTTTGCTTATATCCAGTTGCCAAGTGAACAATTGAAATGGGTATACTTAGCAACTGGTACAACTCTTACCTTGGTTTCTTGACTTGTTTAGTAAGAACAGGAAGGATCAATGGAAGCCCCTGAAACTTACACCTTCACTGGCTAAAATAATGAATCAGAAAAAATACACCATCCTGAGAGGAAATACAAGAATGAGTGTCACCATCAAAGACTTACTGGATGTAGACATACTGGTACATATCATATTCCTGTTCAATCACCTATTTATCCTATTTGGCCACTATAGAAACCAGGCTCATCATAGCAAATGATTGTAGACTACTGTAAACTTAACCTAAAAATAACTCTGATCACAGCTGCAGTGTGAAGCATTAGAATATAACAACATAGTATATGCATAGTATATGCATTAGAATATATCAACATAGCCTTTGGTGCCTGGTATGCAGTTACCTGGTGAATAGATTCTTCTGAATCACCATTAGTAAAAAGGAGCAAGGGCAGCTACTTCACAATAGCCTTTATCCAATAAGACTAAAGCAACTAAAGGCTCCAGCCCCTCCAGGATGAAGAATTAGGCAACCCACCAGGCAAACAATCTGGGTCAAGTAGTGGTGGAAGAAAAAGAATGAATATCAGTTATGTCCTTGAGAACAATTACAGTATAAGGAGCTGTTGCTTATTCCTCTAATGCTCTTGTATTAAATCTTCTGTATGATGGCTGTCAGCTACCACCTTGCAGGCAAGGTGACAGACTACATACAATGAAGATTACTAGCAGATCTGAATAATTTACACTGGGGAGTATATCAGACCTCTCCAGCCCATTTCATATCCATGGCTACCAGTTGAACCAAGATGACAACTGATAGCTGCTCTAGGTATCTTTTGCTCTTTAGCCTAGGGCTTCTCTATTGTGCAAACATGGAAGTATGAGGGACTGAACACTCTGGTACAACCACATATCAACAGGGGATGAGATTATTCCTTCTTCTGTGTCTCACTCAGCAAACATTTCTAATTCTGGCTCCTTGGAAGCTCCTTGGAAGCTCCTTGGAAGACAATGGAAGTCCCCATTGTCTATAATGATAACCAGCTCATTAATGTGTCTTATCATGTTTTACTCTTGCTCCCTGGGATCACTTCTCCAAATAAATGAATGTGAGGAAGCCTTTATTTCAGGCTGTGCTTTTTAGGGAACAAAGACACAGACAAAAAAAAGTAGACAGAGCCCCAGATGTGGTCCTATAAGGCTTTTCAGAGGAAATAACACTTGAGTTATGTCTTAAAGTTACACCTAAGAAATTGTCTAGGTAGACAAAAGGGAAGAATGTTCCAAGTAGAGATAACAGTAAGGACAAAGGCAAAGAATCAGGAAAAGTCTTGGTAAATTTAGGGAATTTGAAGTGTTCATAATTGAAGGAGCAATAGAGTCATATGCTTGAGGTAGCAGGGCATGCTGGAGAGGTAATCAGGAGTCAGACACAGAAGTTTTTGTGTGTCATGTTAATTGGGACTTGTTTAGTAAACAACAAGAAAACAATTTAACCCTTAGACCAAACCTTCTGTCTAACTTTAAGCAGTGTGAAAACAAACTCACTTTCCAATACTGAGACATGACTTGCTGTTACCTCTCAACATTTAAAGATGAATCTGTTCTCAGAGAGCCGATTGAAACTTCCAGAGAAAATATGTGGTAACATAAAACAGGCATTGTCGACTACCTATCCATTCTTTTCCCCTCTTCATCCTTGCTGGGAAGAGCCCCAGTTTTGTTTGTGCTTACTTACTGACCACGTAGTCTTATGATGGGGGTGGACTTCCTGGCTGCAGGTGATAGTCTAAGCCAGAGATTGGTACACTTTTCCTGGAAAAGAACAGACAGTAAATATTTCAGGCCTTGTGAGCCATATGGTCTCTGTTCCAACTACTCAATTCTGCTGTTGTATTTTGAAAGCATCCTTTAAGAATACCTAAACTTTATTTACAGACACTGAACTTTGAATTTCATATAATTTTCTAATGTCATAAAATATTATTTTTTAATTTTTTCCAACCTTTAAGAATGTAAAACTCATAGCTCACAGGCCATACAAAAACAGTCAATGGGCCAGATTTGCTAACCCCTGAGCTAAACTAATCAGAGTGGTCTCATTTCCTTTGCCCAAGTCTGTTTTTAGCATGGACATGTAATTAAATCCTAACCAATGTGACCTGCAAGTGTTCCTTAATTCAAAAAGGAGGCACATTAGAAGGAACAGTCCTTTTATTGTCTCTAGTTGCTACTGCATGATGAATAATGCCGAGAGCTGCTGCAGCCATGTTGAGAACATGAGGTTTCTTGCCTTTATCTTAGAATAACAGAGGAAGGAATTTGACTGAATGTTCATGACATCACCAAACTGTTCAATTAACCTGACTCTAGACTTCTTATTGTAAGAAATAATAAAGGTCCTTATCATGTATGCCAATTTAGTTTTCTGTTACTTAAAGACAAAAATATTCTGACTGATATACAAGGACCCAGGAGAATACTATGTAAACCATTAAATAGAATAAAATTGAACAATAAATGCTGCCATGGAAAGATATCTAAAATAAATTCCTAAGTGAAAAAAGCAAGGTATGGAACAGTTTGCACAGTTCAATATCTATGTATATATCTTAAAATTATTGGAAGACTGTGATTAACCACGATTAACTCTGGGAAATGTTGTTGGAATGAATGGGGAGGAAAAAGAGGCTTTAATTGCATATTGTATGCAATTTAAAAATTTCAAAATATGCACAATTATTACTTCTAGAATTTAAAAACACATTTAAAAAAATACAAGGAAATGAAAAAAATTATTGACTTTCCAGATGGGCAGGTATTTTGAATAGGATTCTATGGGAATATAGGAGTATGGCAACCCAATGCTGATGCCTAAAATGGAGTAGGGCCATAAATTCAGATAAATGACTTACCTTTTATTTTATTTTCTTAATAAGGTATCTTTAGCCATATTGCGTTCTCTCTGAATGAAGCTTAGAAGGGTATAATCTAAAACAGAAGAGTAGGGAATACCAGATACTACAACTACAACAGTTTAGCTCTTCTTATCTCTCTGAATATCTAATGGGATGTCTCTGGGTGTTAGTACTATGTCTGGTCTCATTTACCATCTGCATTAATAATTTAGAAGTGGGAAAAAGGGTTTTTACTGATGGAAGTCCTTTCTAAGGTTTCGGTAGTAAGACTTAACCTGTCCGGGAATGATTTAGGTAAGGAAGATAAAAAGAATATTAAGAGAATTGAGAAAAAAATAAAATAAAAGAAGACCCAAAGTATGAGGGATTTAGGATAAAAATCAGGAAGAAATTTCTGATAATAAAAATTGTCATAGACAGAGAACAGAGCAGAGGTTAATTGCAGAGATCGTGGACTTTTCATTATGACTGTTTAAAAGGAAATTATTATCTGTTTAGGATGGTCTTATTATTATTATTATTAGAATTATAGGGATGAAAGAGACTTTGGAGCACATCTATTTCAAACCCTTCATTTTACAGATGACAAAACTAAGGTTGAGAAATTAAAGTGACAAAGATCACACAGTTAATTAGCTATAAACCCAGAACCAGTACTCAGTTTATTATTACTTTCTTTTACACTACATTTGCTGAGAATTACTTTGTCTGAAGCAGTAGCATAAACTACTGGATGAATTCCCAAAGTCCTTTCTAAGTTAAGCACTTTAGTTAAGAACTAAAGCTATAATTTATCACAATCAGGGATTTTCACCTGGGGTTCTTGGACCATGGTCAGGAAGTCCCTGAACCCTCTGATATTTACGCAAATTTGTGTATATATATGTTTGGAAATCTGTAGGTCCCCATTGCCCTCCTGTGTTGAACCAATCTGACAGCAAGTATCCCAAAAGTTGAATTTGACATCAATTTCAGACAATGAAATTAGAAAAACTCATGCAATGAATGAGGTAACCAGTTATAGAAAAAACCCATCTCAATAATGAGAGGCAAAGGAGTTAAGGGGATCCTCAGGTTCAGGGACTTGGAATATTCTCTAGAACATTTGATTATATCAGCATATTAAAAGCTAAGCAGTTGCGGAGGAAAACTCTCATGTTTGGGGGATGTCTGAAATGTTCAGGTGGCCAGCTATATCACAGACTTTCTCTACCTTAACACCTGTTTGAAAATTTTAAAAAAAGTCTAGAAAATTCACCAAAACAGCAACCAACAAAAGAAGGGGCATACCCTAAAGTTAAAAAAAGAAAAATTTAAAAAACCCAGGCAGGGATACAAAGACATAATATTATGAAACAAAGCAGAGAAGAAAGAATGGGCTTACATCCTAACTGCCCTCTCATCTACCCACCCACCTCAAGCTATACTGATAAATTCTGAGGTTCACATGAATGTCCCCAAATTTGTAGAGAAACAAACCTAGTGAATCTCCTTACATTTTTCATTTTCTCACTCTGCACTATTAAAAGTGGCTGCAAGAAAGGCTGGTGAAATAGGGAAAATGATCTAGGTGGCTGACTCTTTCTGATGAAAGTAAAGACTCTAGGGATACTCAATAAAATAGGGAAACTATCTTTATTTATTTGTTTAATTTTTGGTTTTATTTTTTGTTGTTTTTCTTTTTTTATTTTTTTCTTTTGTTTTTTGTTTTTTTAAGGAAACTGTCTGAAGTCTGAGGATATCTTTCTATGGGCCTAGAGGAATGAGATATAATTCTCACCTAGATAGAGTAAACAAAAACTTGGCAAAGAGAGCAGGACCAAGGTTTTCTAATGTAGCTTGTATCTTACTTGTCGAAACCAAGCTTCTCCCCCCACCCCCAACCATTTCCTTGAGGTACAAAAAAGTAAACAAAAGATGAAACACTTTGTCTTTAAACAGAAACTAAGAGTGGAAACCAAACTGGACTCAGATATGGAGGAAAGAAAGTAAAAACATCACCCATACCATATGACAAGGAATGGAATGTCTGTCTGAGCTAGCCAAGCCTGGGCAAGACAAGAAGAAATGACATGGCAACTATGCAAGCAGAGTCCAGCCAGAGAACTTACGTAACTTTGCTCAGGTCATAGAATTAAGATAAGAGCAAAGCCAGGTAGTCTGACTACCCTGGGAAATCAGGATAGAAAAATGTTTCAACTGACTAAATTCTCTCCTACATAAGATAAAGCAGTTGAGCCAACTATAGTTAGATTTCCAACTCTATTGTTTGATTCCTACGTGTAAATAAGCCAATGAGAGAAGAGCCCTGGCTCTTAGGGGATATAAACCAATCAGCATACATCCCTCCAATGAAGGACCAGGAATTTGGGGAAGGGGTCAGGGACAGCAGTGCTAGGGAACATTCTGGAAGTGGTCTGATAAGAGTCTAGGCCTGCTACAGTTACTGTACATCCATACTATCCTAATGAAGTCCTGATATAAAAGTTTACTGTTAATATCCTCCTAACCAGGAGCCTTGGCAGGGGGCCAGCACAGCCAAGTCAAGGCCTCAGCATCACGATGGTTGCCCTTTCCTTTCCTAAGTTAAGCATATCTGAACCATGAGAGTATCCTGACCTAGAACCAGCGGTGGGAGAATAGTGAACATCAGTTAGGTGGGGCCACCTCCTTGTTTCACACAAGCCAAATCAATAGCCCCTCTTTTTTTTTTTTTTTTTTAAGACAAAGTGCAAAGAACACCCACTTTGTTCCCAGTGTGGGTTTGGGTCAGTGAAGACATGTGGAAGTTAGTCCTGTAGTCCAGCAGTCATTCTGAAAAAATATAATAACTTAAACTATAAGGCAGCATACAAGGGGCAAGCAGAGATAAGAAGAGGTATGGAAAGGATGTGGAGTTCACCAAAAACACATTTTGATTTTTCTACATTTTCCCCTAATTGATACAAAGGGTTATAGCATAAAACTTCTCTCAAATGCTTTCATTGCCTGATGATAGCAATCTAAAGTATTTATTATTAATAAGAATTAATTTTACTTCCTCTTAAAGCTGTACATTAATTATAAACACTATGTAGATAGCCAATTAAAAGTCTTCTGGAGTTGTTGAATTGTTGTAGAAAAGCTAGCAAATAGTGTCTTTGACATTGGATTTCAAAAGTAATCTTACAGAAACATCTTTCTGTCTAGTCATGATACATAATCAACTAGCATGTATCAGCCTGATAGCCTATTAGCTGTTGTCTGTATATTTGATTTCAGGAATTGTTGATGCATCATTAGTTATTTGTAAACCACTCAATGTGTAGACGTCTACAGTCTCACTGGTGCAGCTTCATGTAGCCATGATGTTAACTCACAGAAAAGGGCTAACTCTAGCTCTCAGGCTTCTCATGAGGATTAAATAAAATAATGTACATGAAGTACATGACTGGCACACACAGTGTATAGCAGTCAGAGCCCCTATAGGAAACAGAATTTCTTCCACATGGTCCAAATGAAGAAGTGTTAGTGAGAGTACTACTTACCATGATGTGGTTAAGCAGATAAACAAGGGATGGTGGGCATCCAGAGATTAGCAATACCCTTAAGGCTGAGGGACACAGCAAATGGAGAGAGCGTTACAGAAGTCAGATGACAGCTAGAACCATACAAAAGGGACCACCAGGTGAGCACTGTAGTCTAACAGGGATGAGGCTTCTTATAAAGATGATTTGTCAAAGTAGGGGCGACTGGGAAGAAATACTCTGATCTCTTTCTCTCCGTCCTCCTATCTTCTGCCAGGGCCTCCCATTAACCAAGCCCAAACAACAGCTGACTTGGCAAGACAGGGGTAGGATTCAGTCTTTTGTGATCAATTCGTGAGCAACAGAGGCAGAAAAAAGAAAAAGAATGGAT